GTGGTGGTCGCAGTAGTAGTAGCAGTAGCAGTAGCAGTAGCAGTAGCAGTAGCAGTAGCAGTAGCAGTAGCAGTAGTAGTAGTAGTAGTAGTAGTAGTAGTAGTAGTAGTATACATTCTAATATTAGTACTACCGTTAGATTTCTACTTCTGAAAAATTTCCCGAATATTCAGTGTCAGTGTAACCTTCATTGTCGCTCACTTCTTTACTTTCCCTTCCAGGTTTCTAGCGAAAGACTAAACAAATAAACTCGAGCCCGGAAGCGCTCCCTGAGCAGCATTTGCTGGTATCGAAGAGCACTCTTGACCTTCTGCTGCTTTCGAGTGTTGGGTTTAGGGGTTTAGGGTTTAGGGGTTTATGTAGGGTTTAGGGTTTAGGAGTTTAGGGGTTTAGGGTTTAGGGTTTATGTAGGGTTTAGTTTAGGGCTTAGGAGTTTAGGGTTTAGGGGTTTAGGGTTTTGGGTTCAGGCTTGATAACGGCTTTGGACTTGGAGACTGCTCGGGCTGATCCGTACTACTGTTAGTATAGTGTTACCACCTAAACCCTAAACCTTAAACCCTAAACCCTGAACCCTAAACCCTAAACCCCTAAACCCCTAAACCCTAAACCCTAAACCCTAAATCCCTAAACCCTAAACTCCTAAACCCTAAACCCTACATAAGCCCCTGAACCACTCGAAAGCAGCTTCAGGTGTTGAGCTGGACGGACATCGAAACACAAACTGCGAAGGGCCATGAAGCGAGGTTTAGGGTTTAGGGTTTAGGGGTTTAAAGGTTTAGGGTTTGAAACTTCGCCTCAGTGATAAAGCGAAACACTCTGCCTGACCCGTCCCAGAACCCGGAAACGCGCAAAGCGAAGCAAATCGGGGTTAACGATTCAGGGCTGAGGGTATAAGTCTTCAGGGTCGCAGCCACTGTGACGAATAGCATTAGGCCCGAAAGCCTATAGACTCAAACTTACGCTTCGACATATCATCTGCTGTCTCCGCATCGAACCCAACAATTACACCCAACTAGCGAGACTCCTGAACGCCAAACACCCGAAACCCAATAGCCAAAACTCTATACCCTCAAGTGAGACCCCAAACCCTAAACCCTCATGACCCTACCCGAAACCCTCCACCCGAAGCCGGCCCCCTGCAAGTGGCCCCCTGCAGGTCCTTGCCCGGCCTGACCGGCCAGCTTCGTCCTTGCCGTGTTCAGCGGGTTTAGGGTTTAGGGTGAAGGGGTTGCTGCTGATTGGATGTTTAAGCTGTAGGGTCCTGAGAACAGGAACCAAGATGACAGTACTACCTGGCACGATGCGGTTTCGGGCTAATTGATGTCAAAGATGGCTCTCTGTTTGAACTCTACCCTAAACCCTAAACCCTAAACCCTCGTCCTCGCCAGTCGGAGCGGTGTCGACATAGCTCATTGGCAAGGCCATAGCTGCAGTCCGGGCGACTACCAAGTCGGTGAACTATGCTGGTGCTGACGCAGCTTCAAATGGCGGCAGTCAGGAATCACTGCTGAATTTGTCGGTCTCATGCTGCAGGTATCTGCATAAAAGACGTAAAACCCTAATCTCGATTAAAATTGTGTGTATGAATACGCTTAGAGTTTAGACGAGGTCTGACAGAACTGGCCAAGTTCGGAATAGCAAAGAGAAACAACGGTGGGAACGCCGTTTTTAGGGTTCAGTGCTTAGGGCTATAAGGGTTTGGGGTATGAAGACTTGATGTTGGGACTCTTCAGCTCCAGCCTCAGAAATCCTAAAACTCAAAACCGGCAGCGATCCGAGCTGTCACTCTCCTCTCTGGTCTCTGCTTTCATTCTCCGCTGTGGTCACGAAGAAAGGCAAACAACAAGTGCACTCTGACTTCCATGTGTTCATGCACTGTGCGAGTGCCAGGGGCTACTTTCCACTTGTGGAGTGGGCACTGGCCACAGTGCACGGAAAAGTGGCGGGGCAGCTTTCTTGTAAGGAAGGTTTCACACCGCTTGACTTGATTTGC